GGTTAGCCAGGATGGTCTCCATCTCCTGACCTCATGATCCGCCCTTCTCGGCCTCCCAAAGTGCTGGGATTACAGGCGTGAGCTACCGCGCTCGGCCAGAATTTTGAATCTTTGTGTCTTTTATGATTAGTTGAATTGGGTTTGTTGCCTCATTTGTTGTAAAATAGCTTAACTGTCTCTGCCATGTTTAATATGATTGTAAATTTTTTTTTTTCTTTGCTGCCCTATTTAGAGTCCAGAAAACCTTCTAGACAACGATCCTTCATTTTTCTGTAGGTTTACTGTTGTGGTTGCAACTCAGCTTCCTGAAAGGTAAATTTTTTTTGTTAATATGTTTTTATTTTAATCTTATTAGATTTGCATTGTTTTATTTTCTTTGCACAGTCTATGATGATACGGTTTTTAAAATTCTTAAATTCTACAGAAACTTTAAATGTGAAACTTTTTTATTTTTTTTTGAGATAGAATCTCACTCTGTCGTCCAGGCTGGAGTACAGTGGCATGATCTTGGCTCACTGCAAGCTCCGCCTCCCGAGTTCACACCATTCTCCTGCCTCAGCCTCCTGAGTAGCTGGGACTACAGGCGCCTGCCACCACTCCTGTCTACTTTTTTGTATTTTTATTAGAGACAGGGTTTCATTGTGTTAGCCAGGATGTTCTCGATCTCCTGACCTCATGATCTGCCCGCCTCGGCCTCCTAAAGTGCTGGGATTATAGGCGTGAGCCACTGTGCCCAGCCATAAATTTGAAACTCTTGACCAGGCATGGTGGCTCACACCTGTAATCCCAACACTTTGGGAGGCTGAGGAGGGTGGATTGCTTGAGCTCAGGAATTTGAGACTAGCCTGGGCAACATGGCAAAACCCCATCTCAACAAAAAATACAAAAATTAGCTGGGAGTGGTGGCGCATGTCTGTGGTCCCAGCTACTCTGGAGGCTGAGATGGGAGGATTGCTGGAGCCCGGGGAGTCGAGGCTGCAGTAAGCCATGATCATGCCACTCTACTCAGCCTAGGTGACAAAGTGAGACCTGGTCTCAAAAAAAGTAAATTTAATTGGGAGGCCAAGGCGGGCAGATCATGAGGTCAAGAGATCGAGACCATCCTGGCCAACATGGTGAAACCCCATCTCTACTAAAAATACAAAAATTAGCTAGGCGTGGTGGCGCACGCCTGTAGTCCCAGCTACTTGGGAAGCTGAGGCAGGAGAATCACTTGAATCAGGGAGGCGGAGCTTGCAGTGAGCCAAGATCATGCCACTGCACTCCAGTCCTGGTGACAGAGTGAGACTCTGTCTCAAAAATAAATAAATAAATAAATAAAATAAATTAAAAAAAATTCTTAGAAATCTTCCAACATTGAAAAGATGGGAAGATAAAAATACTGAAACTTTTTTTTTATTATTATTCTTTAGACAGAGTCTTGCTCGGTTGCTCAGGCTGGAGTGCAGTGGCACAATCTTAGCTCAATCTTAGCACAATTCTTGTGCCTCAGTCTCCCAAATAGCTGGGATTATAGGCAAGTGCTACCATGCCCAGCTAATTTTTGTATTTTTAGTAGAGACGAGGTTTCACCATGTTGGCCAGGCTGATCTCAAACTCCTGGCCTCAAGTGATCTGCCCGCCTCAGCCTCCCAAAGTCCTGGGATTACAGGCGTGGAGCCACCAAGCCCAGTCTTAGATGTGAAACTTTTGGAATATATTTAGAGCAGTTAAACGGAACTTTTTTTTTTTGTTTTTTGTTTTTTTTTTTTTTGTTGTTGTTGTTTTAGTGATTAAAAACTAGTTAGAATTGATTATTGAAGGCTGGGTGCAGTGACTCATGCCTGTAATTCCAGCAGTTTGGGAGGCTGAGACAGGTTCGGATCACTTGAGCGCAGGAGTTTAAGACCAGCCTGGGCAACATGGCAAAACCTTGTGTCTACAAAAAATACAAAATTTAGCCAGATGGTGTGCATGCTGTGGTCCCAGCTACTCAGAAGGCTGGGATGGGATAATCACTTGAGCTCGGGAGGT